ATGAATGGAATTGCACAGGAAACAATAGCAATGAAAAGGAAACTGGGACTCAAATCAATGGAGTGGACCAGAAGAAAGCAAATAATGGCCAAACAGAAAAGAGTCAGGAAACAAGAATTCAAAGAAATGAGGAGAGTCTTAGGAACCTCCAGGACATCTTTAAACGCTCCAATATCCGAATTATAGGGGTACCAGAAAGGGGAAAGGCACAGCCACCAGTGGAAAACTTATTTGCACAAATAATAAAGGAAAATTTCCCCAATCTGGCAAAGGAAATAGACTTCCAGGAAATTCAGGAAGCTCAGAGAGTCCCAAAGAAGTTGGACCCAAGAAGGAACACACCAAGGCACATCATAATTACATTAGCCAAAATTAAAATGAAGGAGAGAATCCTAGAAGCAGCAAGAGCTAAAGGGACAGTCACCTACAAAGGAGTCCCCATCAGACTGTCAGCAGATTTCTCAAAAGAGACCTTACAGGCAAGAAGGGGCTGGAAAGAGGTATTCCAAGTTATGAAATCCAAAGACCTACAACCAAGATTGCTCTATCCAGCAAAACTTTCATTTAGAATGGAAGGACAGACAAGGTGCTTCTCAGATAAGATCAAATTCAAGGAGTTCATCATCACCAAGCCCTTGTTATATGAAATGTTAAAGGGACTTATCTAAGAAAGAGAAGTTAAAGAAACATGAACAGTGAAAGGACAACAAACTCACAGTTATTAACAACCACACCTAAAACGAAAGCAAACTAAAAGGACAGCTAGATCAGGAGTGGAAACATAGAAATGAAGATCTCAAGGAGGGTTAGCAACAGGGGAGTGGGAGGAGGAGATGGGAGGAGAAGGAACAGAAAATAAGTAGCATAGACAGTAGATAGAAAATAAATGGGGGGGGGCAAGAATAGCATGGGAAATATAGAATCTAAAGAACTTGAGACACATGGTCATAAACTAAAGGGGGGTAATGGTGGGGATGGGGGGGTAGGGTGGAGGGGAATGAAGGGGGGAATAGAACGACTGTAACAGCATAATCAATTAAAAAAATATTAAGACTAAAAAAAAAAAAAAAAGAATATGGACTCTGGAGCCCTGGCTGGTGTAGCTCAGCGGATTGAGTGTGGACCTAGGAACCACACGATCGCGGTTCAATTCCCAGTCAGGGCATATGCCTGGGTTGCAGGCCAGTTCCCAGGAGGGGACTCATGAGAGGCAACCATACATTGATATTTCTCTCCTTCTCTCCTTCCCTTCCCCTCTAAAGATAAATAAATAAAATCTAAAAAAAAAAAAAGGAAAAGAATTTGGACTCTGGAAAATGAGATTGCCCCTTGTCATGTTTCCCATTGGCTAAAAAGATGCCTTTCCTAAGAATCTGCAAATGTTATAATCCAGTCTTTTATGTCTTTTAGAGTTATGTTTGTTTTATGACTTAAGGCCAGCATAATGCTATAGTCAGCTATATCTTAATCTCACACTGCATAATTTGTGTCTGAAGTGATGAACAAGGATATGGAAAAACTAGACATTGGAGTTTACTCATGATTATCTTAAGTTGACAGAGATCTGGATATGGCTGGGTCACTTCTGGTTTGATTATCTGGGCGGGTTGCCACCAATCAGGTCTACGGATTCTGCCGTCACATGGCCCAATTTTCACACATACTGATGTGTGTATGTCAAATAGTGTAAAGGATTGTATGGTCATGTTAACCTATGAGCTGAGTGAGGTCTTCAGTTGTAAAAACCGTAAGGTAGCTCGGAGCTCACTTTTATTGTGTAGAATGAAATGCACATACAAAATCAGTCCCATTAGCAAGAGTAAAATCAGCCCCTTCTTTAAAGATCTGACATGACCACTATAAAGACATCTTTGCTAATTTAATATGTATTGATATACTTATGACTTTTTATCCATACATTTTTCATTTCAAAAAAGAGAAAAATCTTTGACAGTGATTAATTTATTAACTCTGATAAGGTCTCTCTACCAACGGGATTCAGTGAACTCTGGCCGGAGGGCCAAATATAACCAGCTACCTGTTTTTCTCAGCCTGAGAACTAAGAATGGTATTAGTATTTGTAAATGAAAAACAAATCAAAGGAAGAATACTATTTATTGGCATGTAAGAAGTATATGAAATTCAAATTTCAGTGTTCATAAATCCAGTTTGGTGCACTCGTTCATTGTGGCTTGTCTATGGCTCCTTTCACGTTCAATGCCAGGGTTAGGGTAGCAATGACAGAGACTGTATGGCCTGCAAAACAGAAAATATTTAACCCCTGGCTGGTGTAGCTCAGTGGATTGAACCAGATAATCGTGGTTCAATTCCCAGTCAGGGCACATGCTTGGGTTGCAGGCCAGTTCCCAGCAGGGAATGCATGAAAAGCAACCATACATTGATGTTTCTCTCCCTCTCTCCTTCCCTTCCCATCTAAAAATAAATAAATAAAATCTTTAAAAAATATTTATTATGCAGCCCATTTTAGAAAAAGGTTGCTTTTTTTTTAGACAAAGTTGGCTTTTAAAAAATATTTATTTATTTTAAGGAGAGGGGAAGGGAAGGAGAAAGAGTGGGAGAGAAACATCAATGTGTGGTTGCCTCCCATGTGTCCCCTACTGGGGTCCTCGCCCACAACCCAGGCATGTGCCTTGACTGGGAATCGAACCAGTGACCCCCTGCTTCGCAGGCCCGTGCTCAATCCACTGAGCTACACCAGCCAGGGCTAGACAAAGTTGGCTTTGTATAGACAAAGCTATTTTCAGAAAGAGAACTGAGGCACAGCAAGAAATATGTAGGTAGACACATAAAAATGACCACAATAAGCTGGCCTGGAATGTAAACCAAACTTCTCATGGGATATAATTTCTAGTGCAGCATCTTGCGCAAGCAGGGAAAAGAAAAACAGCAGGTGAAACTAAACTAAAAATCTGAACCCTGAAGTGTGTGTAGTAGGAGAGTTAAAGGATAGAGCACAAGATTGAAGGCATTTTTAATCTGTTGCCCAAATGTGCCCTTTCTGGACCCTTCCTATGGGCAGGCTTCCCCTCCTGTAGGCAGCACTGTGCAGTCTTAGGCCATCACTAACCCTTGCTGATTGACTCATGAGTGGGGGATACCCAGCTTTGATTCTGGCCTGAGTAGGTGGGGGTTACAATGACCTTTGAATGATACTTTGGAGGTCCCATGAAAAGGCTGAGTATGTACCCTTCCATTACTGCCTCCTAGACATGCTATGGTCAGGTTCTCTGAAAACCTGCCTCTCTCTTTTGTTTTGGACATATTTCAGTGCATTTGGGAGGGGGGTAACTAAGACAAGCGTTTGAACACTTGTTATAATTTCTGCAGCAGGAAGGACAACTGTCAGCGGTGGAGGAGGGACATGCGTCAGAACAATGGTTATCCTTTGTAACTTCTGGGTGTGTGTGTGTGTGTGTGTGTGTGTGTGTGTGTGTGTGTGTATGTGTGTATCATGTATTCAGGGATAATCTCTGGGCACAGTAGTTCAGATATATAATTCATAAGTATATAATACATTTTAAATATATTTCTGTGCTCAAGTATTGTCTTGATAGTTTTCTTTGTATTATCAAACAGCTTGTACATTTGGTGGCTTAATGTTCTATTGAAGCATAACAAATCACAAATTTGGTGGCTTAAAGCAACACATTTATTAGCTTACAGTTCAGGAATCTGGGAATGGCTTAGAAGGATCCTTGGCTCAGGGCCTCCCCGGCCCTGAGCAGTCATGGTGTTCAGGCTGGGGCTGCATCCTCATCTGAAAGCTCGGTCCCCATCCAAGCTCCACTGGTTGTTTGCAGAAATCTTTTCCTTGAGGCTGTGCCGCACGTGGAGGCTTGCTTCTGCCAGAGTCTCTATGACTCAGAGAAGGCCTAAGCCCCCTTTTAGAGGATGCCCACCTGATTAAGGCCCACCCAGGATAATTACCCTTTTGATTACTTAAAGTCAACTGATTTGGGACCTTAGTTACTTTTGTAAAATCCCTCCTACCTTGCATTATGATGTAACATAATCAAGAGAGTGACATCATCACCTTTGTTATGGAATGTAACCTAATTGCGGCATAATACCAGGGGGCTGCAATCCTAGGTACCATCTTAGACTTTTGGCGGCTCCAAAGTGGGGTGGAAAAGCGTGGCTCCAAGGGGCAGAGGGAACCAACATAGAATCTTAGCTCTCCCACTGACCGGCTGTGCAAATGCACAAATAATTTCACTTCTCCCTGCCTCAGTGCTCTCAACTGTAAACTGGAGAGCATTCTACCATCATTTTAGATTTCTAGTACCTACTACTTTGGGGTGGTGCCAGAATTAAATACGATTATACTTATGAAGGGTCTAGCAGGGTGACCAGTAAACAGCAAGTTGTGAAGTGTCAGATAGTTTCCTTAGATATTCTATTTCAGCCATATAGACATTTTACTTACATAATAAAATAATATTGGACACTGACAGATGTGCCTCATTGGAGCTCAAGAAAATAAGACAAGAGGAGGGGATTTAGGAATGTCAGTCATTCCTGGTTTGCAATAGAAAGGGCTTCGTCTGGTGTCATTAAGAACGATCTAGTTCAGCCCTGGCTGGTGTAGCTCAGTGGATTGAGTACGGGCCTGCGAACCAAACAACTGTGGTTCCCAGTCAGGGCACATGCCTGGGTTGCAGGCCAGTTCCCGGCAGGGGACCCATGAAAGGCAACCATACATTGATATTTCTCTCCCTCTCTCCTTCCCTTCCCCTCTAAAGATAAATGAATAAAATGTTTTAAAAAAGAACAGTCTAGTTCAGTAAATGGTGCTGTAACACAAAGTACAATACAGTATGTGAAAGGACCTACGCCTAATAAATACTAGTTGAATTTAAATCTGGACAGAAGTACATGCTTAATAATTGTTAGTGGATTAATGGACGCGATTATCTTCTTCTGAAAGTCAAATCACTTGCTTAACCAACTGATTTCTTTCCCTTTCCTGTCACCCACAGAACTATTTGAACATGACAAACATTTAATTTGCCAGATGGCTCCTCCTCCTTCCCAGATCTAAGGTAAGGTCTGTTAATATGAAACCAATAGAGAAAGTCGAAGTGTAAGAACATTTGTCAAAGATCTTGATAAAGTATGTGTGGAAATTAAGAAATACAAATATCAAGCCCGGGGCCTATAGTTTCTGTGTTGAGAAATCATTCTTATCTACCTCCTAGTCTCAAGTTCAAAGCCTGTACTATAAGGGCTTCCTCTGTGAAGGGGAGGAGAAAAAGAACAAAAACAAAACCCCCCAAACAAGAAAGCTCCCCAAAATACAGCATTCTAAATTTGCTCATGGCCTTGGAAATAAAAAGAAACCGTTTCCCTCGATAACAGACTTCCCGATGTGCAGAAAGTACACAACCCCGGTGACCTCGTGCTCACAACAATGGGCAGACAGAAATGAACACAGTGCAGGCTTTTGTCTTCTCATTATATTGTCATCTTGTTCCCCAGAATGGCTTCGGGCCTGGGGACAGGGAGAGGGCTGCCTGCTGGGAGCCCTCTCCAGAGCGACTGGCGCAGCTGTGGGTGGCTCTGGGGAGACTTGGAGAGGAAAATTCCTGGGAGCAGGGGCTGGCCAGCCTGGAATTTCTGATGAGGCTGAGGCTTTGGGCTCTCATAGTTCCTTTGCGAGTGAATCAGAGCGCTAAGGATTCTGAAGTTTAATGCAAAAGGAGGGGGGAATGACACCAATGGTCTAAGCTTTACCTGGGCTCATTACCTGTCCTTTGAATTTGTTTGTTTATTTATGTGTATTAACGTGGAGAAAGTGGGACGGGTGAGCCATGAGCAGACTGTTCATTCAGCACACACTTGGGAAGCAGTTTTACTGCCAGTGAGAGACTGTGAAAGACACAAATGAATCACAAAGGAACTGTGGCCTTAAGAGTGTCGTGGTCCTCTCCCAGGGACTGTGGCTTGTAATAAACATTGTTCAGAGCTGTACGGACTCCCATACACCTCAGTCATCCTCTGGAAAAGCTGGTCAAAAACATTCAACGGGTTGCCTAGTTCTAAACAAGGGCAAGAGTGAGACTAAATCAATGGGTCGTTCAACAAATGAGGTTAAGTCAATGTGCAGTATAGCAACAGCGAAGCCAAAGGCTGCTAGGGGAAAGTCAGCCCTCTGACCTATATCACTCTTTTCTCTCGTCTTCTGGAGGAAACACCAACCGGTCCAACTGCTGTCAGGAAATTGCGACCAGCACTAGCTGACTACAGTGCAGTGTTCGCCCCAAGCCGAGCCTTTGGTTTCACATATACACTTCCTCCGGGGTTCGCTGCTTAATCCTCGCTCCACAGCTGTACCCCCCACCCCTGGGCCCACTGAACTCATCCTGCTTTCTTTTTCTTTTGCCACTTTTCAGCGGGATGAAATACCTTTATTATTATGTGATGCTCAGCATTTAAGATTTCAAAAACTCGGTAGCCTGTGCATTTATCAAAAGGGGAGAGGTGGTGGATGTGCCTAGATTTCATATTGCCCATGGGTATTGCAAGTGACACTAACAAAATCTGAGAGCAAATATGTTGTTACTAGCTTCTCAAACTGGACGACTACTATGTATGAGTGTCCTACTTTCCTTCTCAATATCTGTGGCATTTTCCTAATATATATATTAGGTTGGTTGTTACTTATATATAATTTGTACCACCTGCCTGCAGCATTACTGCTAAGAAGAATAATCCATGTGGGTGCTGATGCAGTTTCAGTCTTTTATTTCTGAACTGTCGGAGCCATTTAAGCAGCTGGCCCACTGGTGAACCGACTCCTTAGAGCGCCTTTGAATGCCTTACTGGGAGGTACATCTTAACGAAAGCTGTACCAGCTTTTTGGCTAGCAGTGTGCCTAGGATGGAAAATCATAGCTCCACAGGAATACGTGCTCGTTCCCATGAAAGGTATAATAAACCGTGGCTGTCTATACTGTTTGAAGACGTGTCCTGTGGCAGGGTCTGTATTGACAAAGGCTGCCAGGAAGTGACTCTCGGGCTCCAGCAGCAGCAGCATTTTCAAATTGTTCTTTTCTGCTCAGTAAAGGTTAAAAAGGAAGTGAGCCCTGTCATACTCTTCCGCACCGTTTTCCCAGACAGAGCAGAAACGCCCGCCCATGCATTCTTCTAAGGGTTTGCTAAGAAAGGGTTGAAAATAGCAGACCAGTGTTGCTGTTTTGCTGCCTGCTCTTTGGCTAGGAAATGAAAACAAAAAGACAACATAGAATTTGGTGTTTGAAACTGCAGTGCCGTTGTTTCTGGGCGGACAGCGCTTCTGTGCTCACTGGCTTGACAAGCCCGCAGTATTCTAGGGCAGGCGCCCATCCCCTGAGCCAGCTCAGCCATTTCTCAAGAATGAAAGGACTAGGGCTGGGCGGTAGTTTCCTCTTCCCGACCTTTACAGCGGCAAGCTGGGTAGAAACACATGCAAATAAAAAGCAAGAACCCCAGAGAGCAACCAAATCATTTCAAGATGTACTGATAATGAACTTCAAGTCTTCAGCTCAACTATCGCTGACTTAAACCCATTTCTTCCAGCTTTTTACTAGAATATGAGGTTAAATACACAAACTTCCATTATTAGAATTCTCTCTGTACTAATACTGGCATGTGATTTAAAAAAAAACACAACATAGAATGATTGTTAAAAATCTAGCATTTATATCTCAGTAAGGCTGAGGGGGGGGGAATCTAACATTGAATGAGAAAATATAAATGTTTTTGGATTTCCTTTCCCTGATTTTGAAGGTGTATTTTTCCTTTATTGAGCAATCCCAAAGATTTTAACATTTATGTCAGGTGTGAGCTCTGGGAGAGAAGGAAGCAGCCCTTCCCTTTCCTTTGTGTCCCAGACAAGCAGAAATGGTAGTGTTAGCATTTGTGGAGTCGGAGAACCTCCAGCCTTCTCACCCTTTTCTCATTCTTCTATTTAGGATAATACATTCAAATCACAAGCTCCTGGGTCAGTAGTATTGCCTTTGCTGGGGTCACATTAGAAAGAAGTTTCGTCCATCATATATCTCTCAAATCTCTCCCCCCCCTCCGTTTTCCATGCATCAGGAGATTCATTGAGAAAATCTGCCTTCAGCTATTGTGGGGGCTTGGCAGGCTTACCTCTCTCTTAGTTCCTGTTAATCATTTGCATTTCTATGGCCTATTATAGCTAAACGTTTCAAAGAACCTCACAACATGTGAGGATTAATTTAATGAAACTATATTTCTCTGTCCCTGGGATGAATGTGACTATATTTTGCTCATTTCAGAACTGGAAGATTAAAGCTCAGAAGTTGCAAAGGTATCTCTCTTTCTGAATTTTGCATATATATATATATATATATATATATATATATATATATATTATGTGAATAAATCATTCAGTACAGTAAAAAGAAAAAAATCAGATTTTTTTCCCTTGGTTGGAAACAAAACCCCTTTTCAGAGATTTTGAGGGTTCTTTTTCCAACCCTTAGCTTTATTCACAAGTTCTGCTAACTAAACTGCTGTTATAAAAGCAATGGAACCATCTACCTTTGTGAGCAGGGGGTACCATAAAGAAATTAGCTAAAGAATTAAAATCCTTCTTTTCAAGGACTTTCATGATCTTTCTTCTCCATGAAAATCACTTGATCTCTCTTTGTCTGAATTTTCCATTTACATAGCTGTGTCAATGATTCTGAACTTTTAGAAAGAGTGACCCCTTTTTGCACCCTAAATTCTTTGTGGCCTTCTACAAGCTACCATAGTTATTTTTTAGAATTTTGAAATTTATTAGAAAGAGAAGAATCTTCTAGCTAAGGAATTGCACTCATTTGATTGGGAAAATACTGGTTTGATATGAAATCTATCATCTCTGCTATATAACTCTGTGAGCCTGTTACTGGACTACAGGAGTCCATTGGCCTGCAGGCATGAGAGCCCAGTGAGACACGGACAGGAGCTCGCAGCAAAGAAACTAAGGGTTTATTTTCAGGAAGTGGCCCACGCTCAGAGTCACAGGTGAGCTAATGCCCCAAGACCTTGGCGCCCCAGAGGGCTTACAGGGGATGGGTTATATAGGAGAAACATCCTTGATTATGGTGTAGGAAGTTGGGGTCTCTACTGATTGGTCAGTGCTAGGGGTAGTTGATCAGTGCATCAGACCCTGATGTCAGCCCAGGCGTCGCTTTGTCTGGTTTCGCTGCTTTATCTGGGCCTGGAGCTAAAATACAACTGAGGCCTAGGTGTTATCTCCAGTTTGACCAAAACCCTGTCTCTGTGGTCAACAGGCCCGGGGCTTTGTTCCCAAGATTATTTGATGCTGATCAGAACCTCCTTGTCCTGAGGGCTTAACAATGGATGGAGTGGATGTGCAAGGGAGAAGGAGGCGGGTGGGTCCAGTTCAAATCAAAAGGAAAGAAAGGAGAAAAGGTCATACTGAAGAAATGAAGTTTCTACATGATTCCAAGCCTGAAGGAGTCTGAGATCCACAGTGCAAAATCTCTGGTTATTTTCACAGAGCTATTTTGGTGCTTTCCTGCCTTGTTTTCTAGATGCTTCTTCGCATTCAGTTTTCGAGGATGGGAATTAGGCCATCTTTTTATCTGTCACAGGCTGGCCACATAGGACTGTTTCAGAGACCAGTTGTTAATGCATGGCCTGGCCCATTCTCTTGATTCTCCTTTTGCCTATGAAGAGATGCTGTATGACCTTTCAAACAAATCTTTGGTTGCTGCAACTCGTTTTATATTTTAGTATAAAGTGAAGAGTCTCTGACCTCCATCTAGTAGGAACCTGACCAAATATCCATGCATTAACCATTTCCATCTTTGCAAACTTTGTCCTTTGAAGCCAATGTTGCTTTCTCTTCTCACTTATTGCAGGGCCCTTCAGAAGTTTTCTGATGAGAATAAAGGTCCCAAATACCTAGTCCCTATGGAAAGGAACCTCAGAGCCACATAGCTAGATGGATAAAGGTTCTAGGCCTGATCTGTTGGCTGCTGGAATAGTCCAGTGGGGGGAAAAAGGCCCCATTAACCACGTTTTCT